TTTATTTTAAGGTCAAATTCTTGCTATTAACAAACTTTTGCCTCAATAAACTCCTAATTTGCTGCGTATTAATAGTTAGTAAGGAAGTTGTTAAATTTAGGTATTGGGTAGGATTAGGGATGTAGAATATGGTCATGCAGACCATAATAAGTAGTACTAATAAACAGCCAATATATTAATAATAGGCATGCTAATAAGCAACTTGTTAATAGTGAGAATTGGTGACCTAAACTAAAGTCTTACCATAGTTTTTTTTAATTAAATTTTATTATTTTATTTTATTTTTTTATTTTTTTTGTTGTTGTTGTTATTTTAGTTGTGAAAATGTATTGTTTGTAATGTATTTTTTTTATTTTTTTTATTTCAATTAATGTTTATTTTAGTTTATTTTAATTAACAATAATAACCATTATATATATTTTGCTGGTTGATTTACTTAAGCGCAGTCCAAATAATTATAATGCAATGCTAAATATATTGGACTTGCTTGAGTCAAGTGTCTTTGTTAGCACATTTTTTAGATCAGTGAGCAGTTACAAAATATCCTAACTGAGCTGTGTGTTAAACCCTGCAGGGCTCCAATGAATTAAATGAAACTCTATTGAAGAGGATCAACAATGCACGTAAGATCCATCTGGTACCGTGCCAACTGGCAGGCAAGTTTGTTCTGCGGTTTGCCGTGTGTGCCCGTACTACTGAGTCACGGCATGTTCAGGAGGCCTGGTGCCACATCAGCCACCTGGCATCAGAGCTGCTTCAAGAACTGCCCCACTGACCACTGTGGTGGGCATCACATGTTAAGTCAAATGGGTGATCTGTACCACGTCTGCTATCCACACTGTCTTAGTTTCACTCTACTGCTGCGATTCTTTCTACTATTTATTGTCACAATGTGTGTGTGTGTGTGTGTGTGTGAGTGTATGCATGTTGTCACAAAGGTGTCCACGTAGAGTGCAGAGTGTCTGTCTTTGTGAGCTTGATCATACATGTCCTCTGCTGTGAGCAGTGTTTTTTTTTCTTCCAAAAAATATACTGTTGTATACTTGTGCACTTGAAAATGAGTCTATATTGAAAATGAAATATATTTTGAGATTTTCAGAGAATGTTTTCTCTGAATAATAGTACAAAGAAAGCAGAATGCTTTACCAGAGCCTTGTCCTTTATGTTTTTCACTATAGCTTTGCTCACTAGTGCTGCATTTTCAAAAAGCAAAATCAAATATTCAGCCTAATCATAGCCTAGTTCCTCTTTTCTTTCTTTTTCTAAAAGTATTGTTTTTGACTTAGCACAGCTGCTGTGATGAGATACCACACCAACATTCTTTGACAGTTGTTGTGCCCAACTAGCTAAAAAGATTCGACTCTGCTACATATTAAACAGTAGTGTGTATGTATTAACATTGACAATAAAGTGCATTTCTCCAAAAGTGCAGCATGTGAATTTTATATTAGTTTATTGCAAGATTTCAGTTTGTTAATTCACTATAAGTGTTCATAATCTTGTACCCTCCAGATGAGTTCCTAGACCAGGGGTCTTCAAACTCACTCCTGGAGGGCCGGTGTCCTGCAGAGTTTAGCTACAACTTGCCTCAACACACCTGCAAGTGTCTAGCATGCCTATAAGACCTTGATTAGCTGGTTCAGGTGTGTTTAATTAGAGTTGGAGCTAAACTCCGGCCCTCCAGGACTGAGTTTGGAGACCCCTGTTCTATATATTGTGTAGGATTTTTCTGATGAAAAACACCATCTGCAGTATCTGTGCTAAGAGCACTGCCACCTACCAGTCTGCTGTATTTCTGCCACAGTAACCTAAAGTGCATGATTCTTTACTATTTATAATTTTTTTAAATACTTTGTAAGTGTACAGTAAAAAAGTACTTATAAACAATTTGTAAAATATTCTTTTATATATTTATATATTATACTATATATTTATTTTATATTTAATATATTTATATTTAGGGCTGTCAATCGATTAAAAAATTTAATCTAAATAATTACAGGATGTGACGATTAATTAATCAAGCATAGCGTTAGTTCTGGCAGGTCACGTCAGTCAAGCTTGCATCAGCTCCATGTCTACCTATAAGAGGCCTATCACGGCATCCCTATATTAGGTCTATTCAGTATTATTCAGAATCAGCAGCTTTATTGCTTTGCTCAAGACAGGGGCGGTTCTAGGAGTACATGCTCAGAGGGGCTTAGCCCTCAGAGGGACAATTAGATACAAATATGCAAATTACCTAATTAACAGTACTTTACCGTGCTTGTGAAAACTGTATTGCTGTTTGAATATACACAAATACCTATTAAAGCTACAGAAGTTAGTTAAGAGCAGTGAGTGATTGTCTATTTATCTTTTGTTGTTTGATTAACATTATCAACATAAGAAATGCACGGTTCCGTTATATTGACACACATCCGAGGGCTTATTTTGTGCCGGAACAAGCCGGATCTGGATCTGGCACCTCTGAAATCCGATCCGGCACCTCATTTGGCGGACCCCCATCCTCACGCACCAATGAAAGATGTTCGTGCTGACCTGTAGCGTGCATATATTTCATGAAAAAGCATGCATAATAATGATAATGTGAATCACTTTATCCCCTTTCAATATAAAATGATAATAAAAGTAAGAAATTAGATATGCGTGTTATCTATGCCAGCTGCAGGTTTTGTAGGTTTTATTTCCACGGTAATAAACTACTTCCGTAATTGGTGGATACTGATTTGTATGTGTGAGGGGAGGGAAAGCTTCATAGCCTACTTAATCGGAAATGTGGAACAATAGCAACTTCTCTCTTTTCTCTCTTTCTTTCTTTCCTTATTGTTTGTTTGTTTGTTTACACAAGTACTAGCTTTGTTACATCGTACATGAACAAGTAGACTACTTAAAATTAAATCCTCAAAACTTAAAATATTCTTGAAAAATGGTCGCGAAAAGACCAATGCGACTTGTTTAGGACATGACATCCCTTTAGTTTGCTTTGCATTAAATAAAATGATTTACAGCAAAGTAACTGTTTTATAGATTAAATAAAACACAAACCTATATTTTACCAAAGTAAACTACTAGCCACCTGAAGAGGATGCAAAATATCCATGCTCATTACAACTGCTGGGTTGTTGCGACTGTCCTGTCCCAGGATCTGGGTTACACAAAAACACACACAAAAAATAAATAAATAAATAAATAAAAATTGGGTTTTAATAAAATAACCCATGATTTTTTTAGAAGACGTGCAAACTAAAAGCAAATGATGCAAGATGTTAATCACTTCAGTTGGTCCATTAATGTGATTCGGGATCGGTCAACCCCAGTGATGTTTTTGTGCCTGTTTTTTTTTTTTTAAGCAGCCCAGCAAAGGATGAATGCCCTGTGTTATAAACAGTGTAAGACTAGTCTTGCATATTTAGTTCACCAGTAATATTTGCACATTAACTTCAGCTGCTTGACTTCACAGAGTAGGCTAAGGATGATTATGTACATATTACCCAAAGAAGAGGTGCAGATTTTGCAATAAATAATTCAAATAAAAAATAAATAAATAGACTGCAGCAATTAATATTTTGTCAGAACCTCTAGTAAATTACATGCTATTTTGTTTATTTGTCTGTTCAGAATCATGATACAAAATCGTGGTTCTCAACTTATCCAGATTTGTGCAGCTCTAGGCTACTCCTATGTGTGACTGTTTCTCCCAGGACATACAGTCAGAGGCGTTATGCCCATTCAAACTGAGGGGGCACGTGCCCAAAGAGTTTTGAGCCAAGTGGATTTTGAATGCAGCTTCCAAAAGACAAAAATAGCCTAATGATATTTTTTGATTTGATACGATGACACTGGTGTGATTAAAAGTTCAGTGCGGCACATCATCAGCTGCTAAATTCAAATCTGTGTTCGCACTTTGGCTGGATCTGAGCCGGAGACAGATGCACTCACTTGCCATTTATCAAAACTTTTCAGTGTTTTCAACCATATATTTATTTTATGTTTCTCACACTTAAATACGCACAGTACTAGCTAAATAAATAAATATAAAAACGTTTGTAAAATACACACTGGAGGGGAGAAGGGTGTTCCTGCACAACCGGAGGCTGCAGTTTCAGCACCGCATTTCTAGGATCGCATTTCCAGGACCCTAGTTTTTTGTAACAGCGCCACCTACCGAATTGGATCACCAAGAACACCAGTATAATATGGACGGCATGGACAGCAATCAAAGTGTGAGTACTGATGTTTTTAAGTTTTATTTTATAATGTTAAAACGATGCAAAGTTTACATAGCCAAAGTGAGAGCTGCTAACTATAAATTAATAATGAATTCCCACGAATTAAGAATTTGTGTGCTAGCTTTATTAATTATTACGACGTTCTTAATTCGTGGCCATGATTTAATTAAACCTTGTTGACTTAATGACTGTAATAAGTAAATCTAGCCAGCACGTTAATTAAACTTAAAAAGATGATAAAAGCATGTTGATGATGTGAGATGTGTCAGATTTACCTGTAGTTTACTGTATCAGTGTGAAAACTTGTTTAATGCTCTTTTTTTTAACCATATTAGTTAAGTATAAATCATCTTTCATAATTAAACTGTGCTGACTGCCTGGTTGCACCACAATTTGTTATTAACCTACCGTTTTGGCATTGTTTTGCAGTTATGAATGAGACGTTTGGCAGTTTTAATAGTTAATCTGCAGGTCTAGACCACATACAGTCCATGGTTTTCATGTGTTAGTTTCTGTCATGTTCTGCATGGCCAATATGAAGTGATTTTATGGATTTGGTTAGTTACAGGGATCTGAGGAGCATTTGGTGGTGCTTTGACAATGTTCAGGTTTATTCATCTTTACTATCTTTTAACTATGCTGCAAATTATTGTATATTTATCTTAAATGTATCAATTTCCTCAAATTAATTGTTTTTACACCATGGTTTGCCCATAGGGTGTACTCAACGGGAAGCCCTCTAAGAAGTGGTTACATACAGTAAGCTATCCTCTTCCCGGGTGCCTGTCTACCTTGACAGTGAGGAACAACAGGACATCGTGTTTGCCTATCTGAGAAGAGTACTGCATAGGACACCAACACAACTGAGCTTCACAGATGAAGTGCAGTTCATCTGTGGTGTTCTTTTTCCAGAGGTATGCCGGATCATGTAATGTGTTTGTGTGTGTTCCTGCTCCTGCCCTTACAAAATCTACTGTATATAAACTGCATACTGGTGCTACTCGTGTATGGCCCCATGTATAATGGCTTGCTGTTCAGTAGTGATATAATGGTATATTAAAATTAACTGTTTTTTGATAGGCCGTCATATATGCCCTGGCTGTCCTACGGAGTTCATCCTTGCAGGAGGCTGAGCAGGCCTTCCTTTCTGGTCCAGATTATCATTACAGGTCAGAGTAGAATATGAATTATTTTTGCATAATGCCCAGTGCACCCTTTTGTTACTGATATTTCTGTTAACCCAACAGTGATTGTTCTCTGATAACTATTTCAGTGAACTTGAAGATTTAAATAGAAGGATTGATGGTAACACTTTCTATGAAGCCTGTATTTATAATACATTATAAGGTTATTCTTAAAGCATTATAAGGAATGAATAATGCATTATAAGAAACCTTATAATATGTTGCATCCTATAATAGTATACTTAAATTAACTGTTTTTTCATAGGCCATCATATATGCCCTGGCTGTCCTACGGAGTTCATCCTTGCAGGAGGCTGAGCAGGCCTTCCTTTCTGGTCCAGATTATCATTACAGGTCAGAGTAGAATATGAATTATTTTTGCATAATGCCCAGTGCACCCTTTTGTTACTGATATTTCTGTTAACCCAACAGTGATTGTTCTCTGATAACTATTTCAGTGAAGTGAAAGAATTTAATAGAAAGACTGACAAACAATTGAGGAAAGAAGGGAGACCATTCAGTTTGTGGGTATTGCTCTTATATACTTAAAAATTTTGAGTTTAGAGTTAGATGTCAGTAACATGATTATTCTGTTTGGTTCTTTCTCTCTACAACCCCAACAGTGCATAAGTGTTGATCAGAAATATATATTACAATTGAACATGTTAAAGCAAATTGTTCTTATTTAATTCTCTCTCTCTCCCTCTCTCTCTCTCTCCCTCTCTCTCTCTTATCTCTCTCAGGAGTTGAAGCCTACAGCCATTCTGTCCATGCAGCAACTGATGGAAAAGGGGGTCTGTTTTTTGTGCTATATATATATATATATATATATATATATATATATTCAGGCTAACGCGACAGTCACGACTCATGCAGCTTTAAGGTTTTCTGCTTCTTTTGTTTTTACTTGCGATCTTTACAACACGCATTACATTACGTATTTCATGGCACACTCGTTTTATGCGTATTTGGCGCCACCTAGTGTTGTGGGTGTATTATTGACATGTCAAAGTCTAGACCCTGAATATAAGACGACCGCGTTTTTTCACATGTATTTCCAAGAAAAAAATATCGTCTTATATTCGGGACAATACGGTATATTTTAAGTGTAAATCCATTTATGTTTAAATGTAAAATTGTGACTCAAAGCAGGTATTACACACTAATTAACCTCTGATGCATTTTGAATCAAAAATCACAATTTAAAAAAAAAAAAAAATGTTCCTGAGATTCAATATCTTTGATAACATGTACAAACATTACTACAAACTAAACCACCACGGTCCTAGAAATGCGGTCCTGAAACCGCAGCCTCCGCTATATCATCCAACTCGGTAGGTGGCGCTATTACAAAAAAGCTAGGGTCCTGCAAATACGGTCCTAGTAATGCGGTCCTGAAACGGCATCCTCCGGTTGTGCAGGAACATGCTATTGCTGGAGAGGGCAATAATAATCTTTTCAATATTTACATAGAGACAGAGCGACACGCGTCATAATCTGAAAACCACTCCCTCACCGGGGTGGTCGGGGGGGGAACAATCCAACCCTCTCCATTGACTTGGTATTGCGCAAAGCTGCCTCCTTTGTCATTTCTGGCTTATAACAAAAAACAGAACAATGTCTAAATGCTGCTATGTGACAGTAAACAAGCTAAAACTACATTTTTATAAGCTGTCCACCCCCAAAAAACGAGCGTTTAAGGACACAAAAGTAGAGCGCAACGTGTCATATTACTCTGAGAACTACGCCCACTGGAGGGAAACGTAATCGTAATCGGCGACAGGAAACATTCATTATTTTTAACCATGTCAAGGGATTATTTCACCACCCTATGTGAACCTGAGAGGAGGAGATATATTGAGAAACTCAATTTTACTCATACTAGGGGTGGAACGGTTTGCGGAAAAAAATCGAACTGTACGGTTCTCCACACACAGTTCGGCACGCGTTAGGACCGCGGTTCAACTTAAATCTGACAACGCATCTGTAATATGGTTTGTTATAAATAACACGTAAAACAAACAGGGTTCAGCTAATATATGTTTCTGTTGATGGATGCGCATTCTGGCTTTCCAATACATTACAACAGCGATGAAAAATAAAACGTGGACAAACCATTCACTCTTGTTCAATGCGAATGCCGTATGCTGGAATATGAGCAGTCATTTATTCTGTCATCACCCGGGTGCTGATAGCGCACGCGCACAGGTGAGACCTGAACAGCACACGTTGATATCTGTGTTTAAGCTAAACTCGTTTAAGCTTTGCCAGTTGAAACATTTAAGAGCCATAGGATGCAAGCTCGCGCGCAGAGTGAGAAGATTTGTGCATGCGCTCATCCGAAGCGCGCAAACTCGCGCCTCAGAACGCGAGCAAATATTAAGCTTTTTCTGAGTTATTGTGTTTAAATGGACAAATTCACACAATAATTATGTCAAAATACCCGTCTTGGTAAGTAACCTATAGCAGACATAGCCGGCTGAACGTACTGTATCTTTAAGAGAATGCACTGATCCCGTATGGCAGGGCTGTCCAAACTCGGTCCTGGAGGGCCGGTGTCCTGCAGAGTTTAGCTCCAACTTGCCTCCACACACCTGACTGGACGTTTCTATGCCTAGTAAGAGCTTGATTAGCTGGTTCAGGTGTGTTTAATTAGGGTTGGAGCTAAACTCTGCAGGAC